CAATGTACCAATTTTTAACATAGTTCTTGAGACGGCAAAATTATTCGCCCTTGGTCGAAGAAGCTAGCGTGAGGACTTTTTAGTCTCTGTTTAACTCAACACCTTTGAAAAGCCTGCACGGCAACAAGTCTCGTCTTTTGCGTTTAGTATTGATTCAAATGATGAGGAACGTTTCATCGATCAAGAACGGAACGCAATCGAATCATGTGATGTTAGATTTTATACAAAAGCGATACGTTGTGCATGAATATAACACAACTTAGCCGCATTGAAGCATTTCGATCGTTTACAACAGTCAAAGAGAACTTGAGCGCAGATCAGTGTAAATCCCAGACCGAAGTGGAGAGCACCTGCTCAAGAATTCCCCAACCTTTTTCGACGTTTGCATAAGCCAGTGCAAACACAGAAAAACATATTTTATTTGTTTTATAAAATAACAATAAATTTTTTTGGCAATTTATACTTTTATTGGTTGTTTTTCTATAAAATATAAAATTCTCCTTACTTTGTTAACACACAGGCTTTAGCTGAGCTTGCCGTATTTGCACAGCCTAATACAAATATACATAGCTATTCACCAACTAGCGTGTGCGTTGTATTGCAGGAATTTAAGCACGTAGGACGGCAACGCAACGATGGTGGATACACGGGCGCACCTAACACCAGTGCCGACCGTTTCAAATCCCCTTCAACAGCTGCCAAATGTGGATATGCGCTAAAAAAAGCAGCATTTGCAGTGAATGGAAAAGCCCTAAGAAAAAAGGACATGGAAGCAAAGAATGATGTTGATCTCTTTTTAGAACTATACGAGGGAGAATGGAGCGCGAAAGTAGCAACTTAGGCCTTGCAAAATTTGTCATTCAAAAAACACAACAAGCCACAATTTCTTCCAATAACAAATGACTTACTGGCCCTGCTTGTTTTCCTCAATGAGAACATTTTAAAACTTACAGAAGATGTTGAAAAAAACCCAATGCAAGAAAATTGGAGGAAACTCACAAATTCTGCTTTAGCAAGATTGATTATATTAAATAAACGCAGAGGTATCCAACTTTTCTATGTTAATGTTTTGCAAGAATATTGTTCAATGTCGCAAGCAAAGCACGTGAAATTTTATTTGTTGCCAAATTTATCTTTATTAAATTATTTTAAAATTATTTAAATGAAAAATCTTTATTAACAGGTGGCGAAGCTTCCCGAATGATGCTTGATTCTTTTCAAGGGTGGCCTTTGTGGCAAAACGTTCATAATGAAGAGATTCTTTCTGCCCTTTCAGCTTCTGAAAAAGAGCTATGCAAGTGGTACGTAAAAATAGTTGACTTGATTTGACATCATCTAGTGAATTTGATGTGTATAGATAACACGCTGTAACCGACTTAAGTCTCATTAAAAATATAACAACCCTTGCTAAGGAACCATAGCTTTACCCAGGCAAACTCAAAGGGAAAATCCTTGAGAGCAATAAAACTGATATCACATCGTCCCGATTTTAACCTATTTATTATCCTTGCCCCCTAATCAGAGTCAGACTCAGAGTTTGTTACAAAATTATATCAAAATTTTAGGTTTGATATGGTGGAAATTATTGGGAAACGGAACAGAAAAGTTCCTGTGCTGCTTACACCGAATGTTAAAGCTGCCATAATAGTTCTGAACCGCACATCTATACGGTTAATAATAAGATGGTTAACCTGTATGCTACAATTGTTGCAACAGAATGTGACCTCCTATTGTTATAGTATCTGAAAGTGGGCAGATGTTTATGGGGGAATGTAGAGCCAATGAGTTTTGATAGTGTGCTATTAACAACAGCCTGTGAATGGTCTATTTTAGTATGTGTGGCAAGGTTGATTGGTATCATATTGTAGTAACATTTATTCTAGTAACAATGTCTAAAATAATTTTTAACTGGTTTGTAGTACACAATGGCCCGATTTAAAGTTTTGAGATTGGTTGTGTCCCATGTTCATCTCTACACAAAATTAGAGGAGTTTGGCAAGAATTATGATGCATCTGTCAAAGCAATATTGGAACAAGACATGAAATGGCTTGCATCAAATGCCAGAAACCCAGTAGATGAAGATAGCAACATCTCATTAGATGAAGACAGCGACAGTGACAACACTAACAGTGAGTGCTAGAGCCAGCAGAGTAAAAGCGATGATTCAGAGTCAGATGATTGCCCAACTGTTCCTGTTACAGTACATGACCTACAACCAAGCCCATCTTCCAATGGCCAAAAGATAACGATTGACAACATAGACTACAGAAAAGAAGTCCACTACATGACTACAGACCATCAAACAGAGGATGTCCACTATCTGACTGTCTCTGCTACAACAAACCGTGTGAATGGAAATCACCTTAGTAGTTTGACCCCGGTGGATGGTTTGAAAGAAATGTACAATGGTTTGTGTATCCCAAACCATTTGGAACAATCTGGTCAGAGGGAGAACTATATCAGTTTGGTAGAAAGAATTATTGTTAACAACGTTCCTTGTATGAGTTTTCAAAGATGTGGTTGTCCAACATATTCCCCACCAATTCAGTGCCAAAGTTAGATCTCTGACTGAAACTGTAAGTTTATGATACTGCTACATATCTGTATTTACTTTTTGCAAGCCACATTTCCGCGAAAATGTAACAACAACTGGGCAATTGTATGGCTAAATATTTTGTCATATTTTAGCATATTAGTTGTTACCCATTAAGGACATTTTTTTCTTTGTCATTTATATATTTGTACAGTACATGTAATACACAACTTGGACCTTCTTTGGGAATTTCTATGGTTGTGTGATTATTTAATTGTTCATTGAGGTCTCAAAACTATTTATAACATTATTTTATGGTTAACAGAATTTTAGAGAGGAAAAAGTGACAGTGCTAACTGTTAATAGACTTGTAGGATATTTTGCTAAGTAATCATGTAACTGCAGCCACAGATTAGTGAATTGCAGCTAACAAAAACTATACAAATTAGGATTAAGTGTTTCTTAACATGCAGCTACTGTCTGTGTCAGTCTGCAAAGTTATTGCTTTTGCTTATTGGTTGAAATATTTTCGTGATACTTTTGGCCTGGATAATCGAACAAAATTTCAACTTTATTATCCATGCTTGCAGTCCGTCTTTGAAATTTTCTAGACTGTGTTGCTGTCAACACAGCAACAACTATTATATTTTCTCTGTACATATCAATTTTAGACATTCCTTGGTGTGCTATTCCACAACGAGAATAGTGCAGATGGCATGAATGAAATCCTAAAGGAGTTGCATAAGTATGTACCATACCACGGCAAAGGAATGAAGTGTGAATATGGAGACCAAGCCATAGTTGGAGATCAGCTCACTGTCGAACGTGGTGTCAATTCCCACAACACCCTAACTAATGGCTTCACACCAAAAGATAGACTAGAGGGTCTGCATTTTGAAATGGCAGACTGGCACGGTGTTAACAAATGCCTTGGGGTATGAATGTTTGTTCATTACATAGTATTTCTAACATTTTGATGTACTGACAGTGATTTCAGTGTGGTGGTAGAGTTGTGAGGTGTTGGAAGTTTTTACTTCTTTACCTGAAGCATGACAGAGGAAGTACAAAGTACTCTGTTGAAGTCCTCTATATGATGTTCCAGATTAATGCAATTTTGTCACCAAGATCAGCACATCAACTGATTTGGAACAGATTTACAAAGTTGAGACCTGGTCATGCCGGGCACATCCCACTTGATTTGAACCTAGAGTTCTACAACAAAACAGCCAAGCAAGCAATCAAGAAACTTGGCTCAAATGCACGTAGGAAGTCCATTGACAGAATTTGTCATAGCATTAATGTGACCAAAGTTTTGATGGAGAATTTCGACAAAGAAGTTAAAACTTACAAGACCTCGGGGAAACATGTAAGGAAGTCAGCATTGAAAGACATGAAATTAGTTGTTGCAGAGCTCTTAGATCAGCAGGCATTGTCCAATGTCCCAGGACGATCCTACAGCTATTATGCAAATAGCAAGTCAAGTATTTTAGCTGGATTTGACCTTGAAAAAATGTACAAGTGGATCAATGATCACAAAACGAACATCACAACAGGACGGCGAGCAAGATAAGAACTTTAGCTAAATGTGTGAATAGTTAAAATTTTAGCCAAGTTATTGTTACGATTGGGAGGTACTTTATACACATAATTAGTTTAATAGCCGGTTCCCCTTTTTACGTATTCTGAATACAACTACCATGATACTTTGCGGGTATTTTCTTCGTTATGCAATAACACGTCCGAAAAGCATGCTGGTAGTTGTATTCAGAAAACGCAATAAGGGGAACCGGCTATTAATCAGATTTCCTATAAAAAATTGTGTGAATGTCAAAATTTGTGTATTACATTGCTGGGCCTTGTCTCATGAAACTTATAGATTTTTATACAAGAATAACACAAGTACTTTGGAAGGGATTTAAATTGAGGAATATGTGTGAAAGTGAACACTGCAAGATGTTTTAGATGAAATTTTAGAAGCCATTATTCATAATGTTACACCTCTCTCCTCCGCAGAGGCCAGCGGTTACGCTCGTGTTCCAAGATCCGCCATGTAAAGTGTAGTGAAATGTCCTAGGAAAACTAAAGCCTCTGTGGAGGAGAGAGATGTTACACTATTATTTTTCAAAAAGAAAAAAAAACTTTATAAGAATAATTTATAAAAATAATTGAAAAAAAAGTTTACAGTACCATATGTTGTTTATGTACACATGTTATTTACTTGATTGCATTTGTTAAATTAAAAAGGAAACTGCTAGAATTATGTGCAGTTTCCTCTGATTCAAGTGTACATTCAGACTCCATTACCTCAAAATCTTGCGAATCACCAAATGACAAGAATGAAGATTCTTCTACTGTCTCGTTCCAGATACTAGGACAATCCTCATCCATTTCGATGTGTTCTAATTGACTAACTTCGTCAATATCGCCAATATCACCAAATACATTGTTTATAACCTTTAGAATACCAATTGCTTGGCATTTTCTCCACACATCTACATGACTTGTCACATCACCAAGAGAAAAAATTTTATTGCATGTCTCAAGGATTTGTTTCATTTGTAAGCTGCCAAACTCAATTATAGCAGATGGGATGGAAACAGTATTTGACATAACTCTTGCATGTTCCTTGAGAATTGCATCATGATATTGTTTTAATTGATCTTTCAATGCCAATCTGTCAGCATCTGTTACTGATCTAATCTTACCAGTATGCCTTGAACATGAATCTTCATCACCTGGTACCTGAAATCCTACATGAGAAGGACACTCCAAACACTGGCAGACTTTCACACAGTTGTCACAACAATTATGTTTTGGTTGTAATTCTTGGCAGTCGTATCCAAATGCCTTCATCAAAACTTTCCTCCTGCATTCATCTAAAACCAATTCCTTCATTTCTTGGCTACAGTGGGATAGCAACATTCCATGGTAAAGCACAATACTATTGCTCCGGCTACCATCCCTGCCAGCACGGCCACTCTCCTGAACATAACACTCGATACTTTTAGATGGACCAAAGTGTATGATAGATTGTACATTCTTGCAATTAACTCCCATTCCAAAAGCTATTGTAGCAATTAAAACTCTAATGTGTCCATCAGGTTTTGACAAATTCTTGGAAATGTGTTTTTTAACGGAACTTGGGGTACCGTCATGATACATCTCAACAAGATGTCTATTAGGCTTGGGAGATGATCCTTTGTAAAATTTGCTGCCAAGGGAAACTTCAAACATTTTGTACAAAATCCCACACTGCTTCCTTGTCTGACAATAGATGATAACCCTTTTAGCAGTGACATCATTGATTTGGATTTCTTTAATAATATCATCAAAGAGAAGATCCAAAGGTAAACGTTTATTGAAATACTGAAAGCAGTAGAAAATATTAGACCTGTTTGGGCTTTCTGTAACAATAACACACTGTTTGCTCAATTTCAAGACGTCAAATATGGCATGTCGCGTCTGCTTTGTGGCAGTTGCTATCACAACAATTTGATGCACATGATCAGAAATAAGAGATCTCATTTCACAAAGGTTACCATACCACTGCCTGAATAGAACTTTCTTGTTTCCAGCACCAGGCAATCCCCTAATACAAAAACATAATATCAGCATAATATACCAACAATTTTATTATTTAACCCATTAAGCACCAGTGCTCTCCCCTTGACGAGTAAAATCGTCTGGCGTTAGACAGTGTAAAATACTAAAGTAGGGTGCATCAGAGTGCAATGCAACTCAATGGGTTAACTAAACACATGGGCAGATAGCTAGGCCAGTTAACCCATTAAGCACCAGCACTCTCCCCTTGGCGAGTAAAATCATCTGGCGTTAGACAGAGTAAAATACTCTGGCATTAGACAGAGTAAAATACTAAAGTATGGTGCATCAGGGCGCAATGTGACTCAATGGGTTAATGTGGATACAGTATAAAAGATAAATCAGGCATATTTATAGGATGCATCACATACACTGATATATGTGCACAGGTGAAATCAGTATATGGTAATAGCCATGATACAAATCAAGCTGTTGCAATAATTACATGGAACAAAATATATATTGAAAGCAATGGCAGAATTGATTGATTTATTGAATAACTTTAGATGTATAAAATAAATAAATTTAAGAATTTGCCTACCATTGGCTGATACAGTGCGCTTCGTCCACAGCAACACAAACCAGGGAATCTTTAAATCTCCTTGTTGATAAAATACCTCTCCATGTTGAAGATAAGAAACACTCAGGTGAACCATATATGTGAGTGAACTCTCCATTAATAATTTTTTGAATGAGGCAATCATCATGTGTATCCGTAACACATACTGCTGGAATATTCAGCTTCTTTAAGGCGCGTACTTGGTCTTCCCTAAGGGATCTCAAAGGTGAAACGACGACCATTATACTGCTTCCCTTATCCTTCTTGTGAATAACATCTGCCATAATTGGTACAGCTTGGAATATGAGCGATTTCCCATATGATGTAGGCAGGTTAACAAACACATTACGCCCACAAAAAAGCTTTCTAAAGCTTCCTTCTGTTTGTCGTATAATGCTTTAATTCCAAACACACTACACACTTCCTCTGATGCTTTTTGGAACGCTATTCTAAAGATGCTGTATGTCGCCATTTTGGATGCTTCCGATTGGAAAAACAGGTTTTACTAGTGATGAGAAATCAACCAATCGTAGGCAATCAAAATAATTTAATTATCTTTAGCCAATGACAGTCTACTACCCAGATCTGAGTAGCTCGACAAGCAATCGCGTGAGTTTTCACAGACTGTAGTACGAGTAATACAGGCTGTGCACAGGCTAGGAAATTGTTAAATCTTGAGAAATTGCCAGCTTGATCGGCGTGAGGTAATCTGTGTGTATTTTCAAACTACTGGTAAAGATTTCAATGGAATCTGATTGGGGGAAATCCATGAATATACTGATTTCTTCGACACCTTTAGGCGAGCTGTTTCCAGTGGATTCACGACAACGAAACGCCGAAAACAGGGCTTTTATGTCCCTGTTTGTTTAAATTAAACAAAACAAGATTACAAATGAATCGTGTTTAAAAACAAGACAACAGAGCTGTCGGGAAAGAAGAAAGACATCCAGGTGCTAGAGTGTAACCTGATACCAATGACAATCTCACCTTTATATGACATAAAACTGAGCGAATCCAAAGGGTATATATTGAGAGATATTGAGAGTTTGAGTTGTTTATATTTTATGTTCTCATAGGAAATTATATTGCAAATAGTCATTTTACTTTGGCTGTTTATGGCTACAAAGGAGAAGCTTGAATACGAGGATTTCGTTGGGTTAACAGAGTGGGGAAAAGGTTGAACTTGTGGCAAGAGCATTTAATGCGTATGAATTGGGTGCTCCAAAGAAATTTACACAGGAAAAATTTTTTGATAGTATTAAGAAGGAATACCAACAAAGGCTACAAACTAATGATATTATTAAGAGCGATCCTAACACTCTGTGCGATGAATATTGGAAAGATGACATTCAAACATGGCAACATCTTGATGATGGAATGCTACATTCTACGAGTAAAGGCAGTGGATGTTGAATATATTGGCAAATACAAAGATGAGAGGGCCTACTCATATTGGATGAGTGGATTTGTTGATATAATTCATGTTGCCAAATGCCCCATTGACAAGACCATGACATTTTTTTGTAAAGCTCAGTATGTCCATCACAAAGGATTTATGATGACTTGCATATAATAGTGTGGATGTTTGTCCTTGAACAGCTGGAACAGTTGGCATGTAATCATGTACTTGTAGTCCTCTGTGTATAAGATCAACTATGCTTACAACAAGCAATATATTTCCCCTGCCTGTGTGCCTGTACCAGTGTTCCCCAAGGATGGAACAAAGGAAAATCAAAAGAAGTAAATCCAAGCAAGATTAAAAATTTTATATTTAGACCAAAATCCTGGCCACAATTAAACATTGAGGAAAGAATTTGACCCCAGAAAACCTGAGGACAGAAATATTACCAATGAAAGAGTTTCTTTATCATTTATTTATTTAGTTTTAATT